CCATATTCCCTACATTATACCTCTGTATTATATAACCCTATATAATTCCTATAACCCTATATAACCCCAAGATAAAAACCCCAAACCCTGCAAACCCAAAACCCTAAACCCTAAAACCCTAAACCCTCACACCCTAAACCGGAAGGCTGGACTTCCTCCGAAGTCTCATCGAGGCGCAGGCAGAGGAGGTCACGGAGCCTGAGAGCTTGCTGCGAACGATCCTGGCTGCCAAGCAGGATGTTTGTGTGTTTAGGGTTTAGCGGTTAAGGGTCCAAGGACCCAAATAATAGGGTTTAGGCTTTAGGGTTTAGGGGTTAAGGGTCGAAGGACCCAAATAATAAGGTTTAGGGTTTAGGGGTTAAGGGTCCAAGGACCCAAATAATAGGGTTTAGGCTTGAAGGTTTAGGGGTTAAGGGTCCAAGGACCCCAATAACAGGGCTTTAGGGCCCAAATATTCCTAATATGAAACCCCCCCATCCCCCTAATATTACATACTCCCCATTGTGCTATATTCTGATTTGCTTGGTAGTATTCCATATTACGGGGATGGGGTTTTAACCCTAAACCCTAAACCCCTTTGGGGAAGTGGATAATAAGCCCAGGCTACAGTTTCCTTTGTGAGTACTAGGCCGAAGCCGCTACAGAAATTCATAACCTGGAAGAACATACTTTACCAATATGAGCCATAGTCTCCTTAAAGGGGAGTTATATATATATATATACCCCAATAATGGAGAATCAAATGGAGTAGAAAATGGAAAATGAAATGGACACTGGGATTATGGGGATTAGGGTTTAATTTGAGTTATAGTCTAAACTCCTTAAAAGGGGGGGTTATTAGGGGATTACTATATATATAGGGCTTATTAAGGGGGATACTAGGAGTTTAGACTATTAGCTCATCTGGAACGAGACGTTAGGGCGGAGGGCTTAGGTTGTTGGATCTCTCGCGTAGGCCTAAACCTTAAACCCTAAACCGCGTAGGGCATGGGGTTTGTGGGGGTTCAGGGCGTGGGGGTGAGGATTTGAGATTTTGCGCGTAGGTTTTGGGATTTGGGTAGTATGGGTCGGGATTTTGGGGCTTCAGCTTTCTAGGATTGAATGCGCATGATGGGGCTTAAAGAGTCTAGGACCTTGTGCTTGGGGGTTGTGTTGTAGAATTTTGCCTTGAAGCTTTGGGTCTAGGAGCTTGTGTTCAGGATCTAGAGCTTCTGGTGTCGGAGTCAAGTTTTGGGGCTTCCCTAAGCCCTAAACTCATGTGCCTTTGAAATTAATGTTTAGAGTGAAGAGCAGGCGCAGTAATGTCAACCCCTCGCATGTAAGGTGATGTAAACCGCATGTACCTTAAGTTTTATATCTTGTTGGGTTCAGGGTTTAGGGTTTCATGGTTCAGGGTTTCATGTCGGGGGACCATACAGAAACAACATAAAATGCTCTGCGTTTCCGGCAAGGGGTAGAATGTCTTCTTCTGGTCGTTGTATGAAGCTGAACCCTGCAACGCGTTCACGCCAAATTCCGAAGTGTCGGAACCTCACAGCTGCGAGGTCTAAATCATGGACCCTGAAAAAAATTGTCCAAAACCCTAAGCCCTCAAACCGCTAAGCCCTGAACCTGGCACACCCCAAACCCCTAAACCTTGAACGCGACAAATCCGAAACTCGCTTTCTCGCGCAGGAGGCGAGACTGCGAAGCCGCCCAAGGGCGCTGGTGCAATGTCATTTTCCCCAGGCTGCTGAGGGGTTGGAGGAGGTTTGGCGCTACTGCTTATAGGCTTCAAACAAATCAAGGGTTGTGTTTGGGAGTGCATCGTTTACGGCACTAGGGTAGGCTCCCTTGGGTTCAGCCGCCAATTGCGGATTTCTAGCCAAAGTTGGGATCTGCAAGAACAAGCTCCGTGCCAGCTTGTTTAATTGTCGTGCATGTTTATCTTTTTTGGCTTGTTTCAGGCTTCGTTTGGGTCCTGTCATGTCTTGACACCCCCACCAAAAAAGTGCACATGGCGAAGTTGCGTCCGTTTACCACGCTTTCCTGCCTTTCCCACCTCCGTACAGCGCAGCCTGGTTTAGTATAGGCTACCGAAGCAATCCATGAACATGTCGTTGCAGTCTTCTTACCACTGCTTATTTCGTGTTTTGGTTCAAGGACTATACTACCACCGCCGCCACCACCGCCATCGTTGATCATCCCCAACTGCGGATCCTACACGCCTATTTAGTACACAGTACGTTTCTATTCTAGAAATTAATTAGCCCTAAGTGTGCAAGTGTCCAAATAGTGATGTTTTGGGCACCCTTAGGAGTAGTATGGTTGGGATTAAGAACCAGCGAGGCCGATCGCCTGGCGGCCTATTTGGACGGACAGGCAGGCTGCCAGAAGACACGTTGCTTCGGGGTCTTGATGCCAACGTACCACTCGTGTATATGGTTTCAACATATTTCAACACGGGAGGACTTAGCTGGGACTTTGTGAGCTGGCTGGCTTTGCGGGAACGCTTAAGCCACATCATGAAAAATGTGTGTGTTTGGTTGTAGTCAGTTGTTGAGATGTCACAGTATGGTGCTGACTGTTTATGGAAGGGAGATGCGGGATCAAGAAATGGGCCATCAGCTTCATCAGGGCAATTGAGTGATTCGCAGATATGTCGCTCCAGCCTTTTTAAAAGCCCTTTGAGAGATATAGAAGTCTTCTCAAGCCCAGAACGCAACAAGTACTCTGCACCAGTTTCCATTGAAGTACAGAAGTACACAAACCAGGGTGTCTTGCAGGTGTTGTCTACATGCACCCGGGACCGTCTGGTGATGCTCTACTGGCGCGACGAGGTCTTGTCATCCGGCAACGTTGTGGAGGACTTCTTGCCCAGTATTCTGGGTCTAGGACCTGGGAGTCTTGCGGGTGTTGAAAGCCAGTCCATTGTCCTACAATTATTGACAATGGCGCAGCGTAGCATTGCAGCAGGAACCCGAGCGCTCGGAGCTAAAGCCTAAGATTCTTGTGGGTGTCTGGAAATTGAAAGCCATTCCTTGGCCCTACAATTATTGACGGTGGTGTACAGCAGGCATCGCAGCAGAAAGCGCAAGAAGAATTGTGTAAGCTTGATGATAGAGATTCGCAGGATACTGCAAATTTCCATGAACGGCAAAATGGCCGATCAGCAACTCCGTCACAGGACTCGTGTGAGGGTCGTGTGCTACAAGCTTTAGCGGAGCTCTACCAGAAGCGGCAGGAGGAGGCTGGATTGCGACAAGCTTCTTTCTTCTTCATTTCTCAAATGGACGACTCGCAGTGGTGGTGTTGAGTCGGGCATGTTAGAGGCGCATTTGTCCTGCAGATCTTTCCTGTGTACTAGGTCCGGGCAGGGCTCGAGTACAGGGTTTGGTGATTGTTTTGCATCATTTAAGAGTCCCAGTCCCAAAAACAGACGTCTCCTAGTCCCATACAGTTGGATGGTTGTACAAACTCCGAAGAGGGCATGACTCCAAAAGATCTCGGTCTATCGCTGGTTGACAAGAAATGAACGGATCCTCATAGCATTCCGTATGTAATCCTTGAAAACAGCAGTGCTTCCATGTTCTTTTCGATTCTTTGCCTGCCGAGCAGAGGTAAGACAAGACCAAACGCCAGGTCCTGGGATGTCCATCGGGCTCAGCGGAGGATGGCAGCCAGGCGATTTCTTGAAGCTGTTGGCCTGTTTTTAGTTGTGTTTTTGGTGTGAGGGTGGTTCATTTGCTTTCAGGGCATGTGTCTAGAGGTTGCCAGCACTGTGGTGGGACAAACATGAATCCCAAATCGCATGACTGCAAGCATCAAAGATTGAGTCAGAAATTGAAGTTCGAATGTTCGAGTGCACCAGAATCGTATGAGCTACAGTCAATACCAGGCTTTCAAGTAACCATCCAGGGTAGACATAAAGGCCCCTCTGGTAAAATGGCCTAGTCTCTAATATACCCCTTTATAGGGAACCGACGTTCACGAATTACATGGTCAAGAAATATTGACGGCAGCTTGTATGCTGTGCCGAAATCTCCCCACAACCTGGAACCCTCAACCATGGAACCCTAAACCCTGGAACCCTAAACCCTGGAACCCTAAACTCTGAAACCCTAAACCCTGGAACCCTAAACCATGGAACCCTAAACCATGGAACAATGGAACCCTAAACCATGGAACCCTAAACCCTACCCGTTTATTGGGCAGTTTGGTTTCTTGCGCTGCCTTCCGCAGCCAGATCCATGCAGCACCTCGCGTTCGGAAAGAAAACAGACCTCATCGAACCTAGAAATTTCCTCAAACCTTTAAATGGTAGTCCCTATGTAATCGCGCTGAATTCCTTCGTAAGATATATATAGAAAGAGAGAGAGCATATGTATATATATATATAGCGAGAGAGAGCGAGAGAGAGAGAGAGAGAGAGACATTTCCATTTCATCCCTTCTATCTAGAGAATATTGAAGTGATAGGTGGACTGGGCAACTCTTCAAGTGCAAGTCTTCAGCCACATGTTTCCATACTACTTAAGGGTGCATGGGCAAGTACAAGCGCGGCAAAAAAGATCACTACTTTAAGAGAGTTGTCCTTTGTACCCTGGGGTTTGGATCCAAAAGCCATGGAATTCAGCCCTTCGTGGGGCTAGTTGGGACCCCAAACTGTAGGGTTTAGGGTTTAGGGCTTAGGGTTTACGGTTTAGCATTTAGGGTTTAGGATTTAGGATTTAGGGTTTAGGGTTCAAGGGCACATACCTAGAGCCTTTGATGCTGTTGATCCTCTCCTTTTCAGGTAAGTTGCCGGGGGTGCTGGTATGTGTGCTGACTGCTTTCGGGTTCAGAAGAGCTCTACCATTACATCCAGTGCTCAAGGGCCATTGTCGTAGAGCAGTAGAGCCAATCCCGTCGTAATGAAGCATAGTTGGAGGGACCTCGAGCTCAGCGAGCTCAGCAGATGGCAGATGAGAAAAAGGTATCGTGAGCTGGCCGTGGCCAAGGCCAGTGCTATGCAGGCTTCAAATGAAATCAGCCTTTCCTCAGAGAATAAAGGCTGAGGTAGCGGGCAACATGGTTAATTGGGATGCATACTTCGATATGGATGTGAAAGCAGTTGGCGTGCAGACAGTTGCATGGGAGAATGGCGAACAAGCATCAGGGGGGCGATGCGTTTGGAGCGGTGAATGGAGGCCTCTTCGGCAAGATGAAATGCGACATGGCCTTCGTGTGAGAACCGGCCCAGGCTTCTTCAAGCCTGGGTTTCCTAGCAAACAGGCCACCTTGAAAGACAACGCCCTAGGGGATGATCCTTTCTATCAAGGCCCATTGAGCTTTCTTATCCGCTGGGGCTTGGAGTGCGATGATGGCTTCAAGTGTGGTTGTTCTATCAGCGGTAGCAACTTGGAAATATGGGAACCTTTGCCCAGCTACTGCTCAGTTGCTAGCCAAGCTGGGCACGCGATGGGCATTGCCACGACGACTGCTGTAAGTACCACGCAGACAGAAAGCCTACCAACAGTTAGTGCAGCGGTGCAGACACACTCGTTTCTGGGCTTTGCGACAAAGGATCCAGGAGTGCAGACTTCTTCGAGCAGTTTGTCCGCACAGCCGGGCCAAAGCAGCACAGAACCTGTAGCGTGCAAAAGCCGGACTCAGTACACGAAGCTTCTGTTGGACTACCAAGATGCACGCAACAGGCTTTACTTGGCACTGAATTTGGCATCACTCCCTGCACCACGCAACGACAGCGAAAAACTGCTGGAGCTCGGTGACATCCTGCGGACAGTTGATGAAGAGTTCGAGGTCATGAGCGGCCAGCTGCACAAGTACAAGCCCCAGGAGCAATGTGACTCTTACACTCAAACAAGTCGATGATCGAGAGGCATCGCTATTGATGCGGACATTCAAGTCGCGATGAGGGGGGTGTTGATCCTCTCCTTTTCAGGTAAGTTGCCGGGGGTGCTGGTATGTGTGCTGACTGCTTTCGGGTTCAGAAGAGCTCTACCATTACATCCAGTGCTCAAGGGCCATTGTCGTAGAGCAGTAGAGCCAATCCCGTCGTAATGAAGCATAGTTGGAGGGACCTCAAGCTCAGCGAGCTCAGCAGATGGCAGATGAGAAAAAGGTATCGTGAGCTGGCCGTGGCCAAGGCCAGTGCTATGCAGGCTTCAGATGAAATCAGCCTTTCCTCAGAGAATAAACAGATGCTTAAGTACACGTGCCCATGGACCCTCACGCCGAACCCTAAACCCTAGCCCTAATGCCCCAAGGCATATGGTTATCTTATACTCCCAAAAAGCTTAAGTAAAGAGTAAACCCTAAACCCTAAACGTGCGCGAATCCCACTGTATACTGGACCCCCAACCCAGAGGATTCCGTGTACATTGATGAGGGATATTAACTTAAACCTGCCTGCTTTATACACTATAGGGACACTATAGGGACTTGGGATCCTTTGGGTAAGGAACAATAATGATTTCCGTGATTATCCCTATCAGCCCCATATAACCCCAGTTTGAATTCCAATTTCCCTATGCTTGTCCATCTGATTCTCCACGATTCCTTATTGTACAGGGTAAGCCCTAAACCCTAAGTCCTTCACCATAAACCCTAAATAGTAGTTACCATTTTCTTTTCCATTATAATTACCCATATTCCCTATATTACACCCCTATATCATATAACCCTATATAACCCCAATATAACCCTAACATTATCCTAATAGAAGTCTAACCTTGAACGCTAAACCCGAAAACCCTCAAGCAGGTACGGGTGCCCATGCACCTGTATTCTGTGATCCAGCGCATTTACTTCGCTAGCACTCAGAGGAAGTCGCCCTGTCTTGCCGCCACTTCGCTTGGGATTTAGGGTTTAGGGTTCAGGATTTAGGGTTTGGGGTTAGCGTTGAGGGTTTGGAGTTTAGAGTTTGGGGTTTAGGCTTTAGTGTTCAGGGCTCAGGGTCTAGGGTGTACCTATACGAAGGATTGTGGCATGTTGTGGTCTATTTGGGGCTCCCAACTTTTAGAAGCTGCCAATGGCCCAAAGTAGGTGCGATGAATTTCACGTTTTTTCGGTGGGCATTATTAGGTAGGCTTCAGCGCCCAAAGTAGGTAATTGCATAGTTATATACTTACTTACATCATATCCCCAGGGAAATTCGGGAGCTTAGGCGATTTTCTGAAAATGGGGGTGGCCTCTTACATCGATTTCAGGCAATTATGGGACTAAAGTGTCTTTACTAACGACTGTATAGGAATGGATTTGTCGTTGCGGTTTACATCTTAAAGTGCACTTGCAGAATGAGGGTTGGACTAGAGCGGCAAGGGGCGGTAAAGCTTACCTTTAATCTCTAGACTGTAACCTGGCTTTGCCGTGTTGCATTTCAAATAAAATATAGGAGGAAACCTGTGAAGATTCACATGATGGTTTAGGGTTTATGACTTATTTTGTTCTTCCTGGGTTTGTAGGAGCATCGTGGTACGGATTTCCCGGGGATTTCATACAAACCGGAAGCAGGAAGTTGAGACTAGCACAGGCTGGTTCATCATGGGGCCTATTTGGACCCCGTTCTTCACACAAAACTCTATGTTCCACAGGGTGTATGGATATTTGTGGAGGTTTCAGTTGCATAGAATTGTGTCTGCATGAGGGCTGTACTACAGCATATACTTGGCTGGGTCTTGAGGGTGCGCAAGTATTTGTGTGCATGCGCGAGCTGTAAGGAGAAACACACATCAACACTACGGCTCCCTTGCAGTGTCCTTGCACATGATGTTGCATAATCTGGACCTTGTTTTTTGGGGGGTTGAGATTTCCGTAACCCTAGACCCTAAACCCTGAACCCTGACTAGAAGGCCTGAAGGTTTGGTCGCAAATTAGGGGAGACTCTCGCCTGAACGAGGAAACTCTCAAAGCCCTTGTGGTTTCCATGGGTCCTTTCCAGGTAGCACATTCATGTATCGCAGTTCATGCTTGGGCTTTCTTGGCGGTTCAGGGTTTAGGGACACACCACTGGTTGTCCCTCTAGGTTGGAGGAGATGATAGCCCCACTTCTTTGAGGTGTTTCTTCGCTACTGACGATCACGATATATATATATATATATACGTGTGTATATACATGTGTATGATTTGTATACATCGTCCATAGTGGGAGCGAAATTTGGACGCATAGCATAGCAGCGGCCACATGATTCCTACAAAATCTTGCGGAACGCTAAAGAACTTAAATGAAGGTTTCTCGAAATAGGGGTGCGCTCGGTGACCTTACGCATATGGGGGTTGTGATTGGATGTTCGGGTGTCCCCGATATTGACTCTTTATAGGGATGGTTTTGAGAAACTCGCACATCAGCGCTACCACGGTGAGTCGAGTACTCTAAGTCTCTTTGCACGGTTTTGGCCCTGTGCATAGTCCGCTGTTATCTTTTTCCTCTTGAGGCCTTGGGCGCTGAGAGCCTGAACCCTTCAGACCCTACGCTTCAAATACCAAGAGCCCAAGCCTCATTCCCCTTCTTCACGCTAGCTATATCAAGAACAGCAGTAATAGTCACAATCAAAACATTTTCAGTAGCAATAGTAGTAGTAGTAGTAGTAGTAGTAGTGGTAGTAGTAGTAGTAGTAGTAGTTGTTGTTGTTGTTGTGGTAGTAGTGGTAGTGGTAGTGGTAGTAGTAGTAGTAGTAGTAGTAGTAGTAGTAGTAGTAGTACTAATAGTAGTACTAGTAGTAGTAGTAGTAGTAGTAGTAGCAGTAGTAGTAGTAGTAGT